GCGCGCCGCGCGTCCCTCGCGCCTCCGCCCGCCGGCCCGGGTCGGGGGTCTCAGTGTCTCTGTCTCTTTCTGTCCGTTCCTCTCTCCGTGCCTCGCTCCCTGGGTGTCGGAGCCTCCGTCTCCTCGCCCTGGCTCTAGCTGCCTGTCTTCCTCTCCCGCTGTCTCTCTGTGTCTCTGCCTTTCTCCGGCGCTCCAGGTCTCACCCCCTGGCCCCAGCCTCGGGGTCCCCAGCCAGTCCCCACGGCCAGGGACTGGCGCCCGGGTGCTCGGTGGGAGGGCTTAGGAGGAAGTGGCCAATGAGCGCTGAGAACGGCGTGCTCCTCGGGTCGGGAGGCGGGTGGGGAGTGCAAGCCGGGATGGGGGAGCGGGCTGGGGGCCCCCTGCCGTCTCCCCAGAACTTGAAGCAGCATTATTGATGGAGTCCAGCTGGGAGAATGATGGGGGAGGGGGGAGGCCGAGGGGGAGAGGGACGCAGGGGGGGATGGGCCTCTGGCTTTAACCCCTTCGTGACCAGGGAGCCCCAGGGAGTGCCAGCAAGTCACGCTGTGAATGGGGGTGTCCTAGAAAGCGAGTGAGTGTGAAAGAGCGGGCTGTGCGTGGGAGGACACGTGTCAGTCATCGTGGCAGGCAGGAGTGTGTGAGCGCCTGGGGCCCTGTGGTGCCTATAGCTAGTGATGGGGGTGGGGGTCGGTGGGGCATGAGTGTGAGTGAGTCTTTGCGAGTAAGTGTGTCAGAGTGTCAAGGACGAGGGTGTGAGTGGCAGGGTGTGGGAGGAGTGTGTGTGTGTGGGGGAGGGTGTGGGTGTGGGGGAGGATGTCAGAGGCTGTCAAGGTGATGGACAGACTGTGCCAGCTTGGGGAGGGGGGGTACGGGATCCACAGCTTAGCCTGTGCAGCAGAGGGGGAATGAAGTTGTGATGTGTGAATACTCCTGTGTGGATGTGTCCCCGCGGTGATGTACCCTGGATTCACTGGATTCACGTGTCTTCAGCCTCTTCTCCCAAGGGGACAGAGCCACGGGTGTGCGGGGGGGGGGGGGTTGCCTGTAGCAGTCCACGTGCAATCACGTGTGTGAGTTGGGCGCATTTAGGAACAGAGTTGGGGGGAGAGGTGTGTGTTCATTCCTGAGGTGTGAGCCTCTCCTCATTCTGCTCTGCAGAGGTGTTTGTATGTGTCCCTGGGGGTGGGGGCTGGTTCTGTGTGTTGGAGTGTCCCTGTTTCTCATGCAGGCCCCGGGCATCTCTGCAATAGCATCTCTGCAATAGCGGATGTCCCCTGGCTGGCCTGTGGGTGAGGGTCTGAGTGCCTCTCTGTAGTGCTGAGAGGGTGGGTGTGTGGGCGTGTGCATATGCATGAGCGCAGCAAGTCTTCCTGGGGTTCTGTTTGTGTTGGCTGTTTTCTCTCCTGGTCACGCTCAGGCCTGGAACAGCTTCCCCAACCCCCACCCCAGTCCTCCAGCAACTTTTCCACTCCCTGCCCCAGTGTGTTGGGTCTCTGGCAGGTCAGAGAGTCTTGTGGAAATGGGTTTGGGGGGCACCTTGTCCTGTCCCTGAGTCAGTGCCCAGCCTGGGGGGGGTTGGGGGGCAGGAGGACAGAGTTTCCCATTGGAAGCCCCTGGCTGCTCAGCTCTGCTCCTCCCCAGCCCCAGACCTGGTACAAATCCTGCTGTGTTTGTTGACTCTTGTGCTCCAGGGGACAAAGCCGGATGCTAGGTTGCTGGCCCGGGGTGTGGGCACCTCTAAGCAGCCTGTGGCTTGGCCCAGACCCCTCTTCAGTTGGAGGTGTGGGGAGTGGCAAAGACCAGTTTGGCAGTGCCTTGGCAGAGTAAATAAGGAGGTGCTGAAAGTCAAGAGCAGGGGAAAGGCATGGCCCAGGCAGCAACCTGCGTAGCCACTAGGTCAAGGTGAGGGTAAGAGCCTGTGGCTTCCAGGCTGGGAAGTGAGGTGAAGGGCACAGCTGGGTGGGTGGCAGGAGGACAGAGAGAGGGCTGCATGCCCACCGCCCACCGGTCCTACCTCAAGCCCGTCAGGGCTGAGAAGGACTTGGGGACTTTGGCGAGGCTCAGTTGACAAGGGGGGACTTGTTGATGGGGGTGCTGCCAAAAGAAATGCAGCTTTTCTGGGAGGCCCTGAAGCAGTGAAAGAGTCCTCCAACCCAGGCTGGGCAGACGGGAAAGGGAGACACTGCCCTCTGGACCGCAAGCCCCAGCCCCCAAAGCTCCATCAGTCCAGTGCCCAGAGGGCTGGGGAGGCTGGCTGACTAGGGGAGGACAGAAAGGCGCGGGAAAGGCAGGAGAGGTGACCGAGACAGGAGGTGAGAGAGGAAGGGCAGGTAGGGAAAAGCCGAAAGAAAGAGAAAACACATGTAAGAGAGGAGAGACAAAGGGAGAAAGAAAGCTCACCACAGAGAGAGGCAGGAGACAGAGATGGAGAGAGGGTAAAAATAGCTCAGCATTAAGATAATTGCAGCTCACAGCTCTGCCCTCCGTTAGGAATTAAATGAGGTTTTATTACTTTGATTTTTCTCTCCTGGATCCTACGCGACTTCTTAAGAACTTGGGGAAAAGTTTTTCAGGTGGGCGGCCAGGTGGCGGGGGCTGCGTGGGTGACAGAGGAGGGAGAGAGCGGGATTTATGGGAGCGGGGGAGGTGTGGGCAGGGCAAGGAGGGGGCCTGGGAAATGGCAGGGCCCAGCAGGGGCGGGAGGCTGGGTCGCTCAGCCCTGAGGTGCTGAGAAGCCAGGGCCCGTGACCTCCATTCACTTTGCGTTAGAATTAATCATATGCAGATGAGATGTAAAAATAATGTGCCACTCCTCGGTTATTATTCTTGAGTTGGAAGCACAGGCGGTTGGGTCCAGGGAACAAATCTGAGACCTCGTTTGACTTAACTCAGATTGAACTGTGGGTCTTTCTGCTTGGACTGACTAAAAAAGTTTACCAGAGGGTGTCTATTCATGTATCACGGATCTGAGCGCACTATTTTGAGACGTGTCTTTTTCCTCTTTTCTTCTTACATCATTGCCAGGTGCCTGCCACAGTGCCGGGCTCACAGGAGGCAATACCTTCCCCTTCTCTGAGGATGAATTTGGGAGGGTGATGTGAGGCCTTCGCCCTCTTTCTGGGAGGTAGGGAGAGTAGCACTTGGGAATATCCCCTCCCCTCGGTTCCCCCAAGCAACAGTCATGTGAACAGACGGTAAACTGGGGAAAACTTGTCATTTACTGTATGCCCTAGACACATTTATCTGCCTCTGTGTGTCTTTATGTTTCAAAGCCCACTTCATAGGGCAACTGTAATCGTTCGATAAGATACAATTAATAAAGCCCCCTGCCCGCTGAGGACTCTGGGTAGACAGACAGGTCTTCAGCGCCAAGATTCCAACTTCCCTGCAGCTCTGAGAGGTGCAGTTCTGAAAAGGGTCGGCAGGTGGCGGGGTCGGCCAGACTTTGGTGCTGGCGCTGCTGGTCTGTAGTTAGGCATCATACCCGTGACCTTGGCACCACACAGCTGAGCCGAGCTGGCCGGGCTGGCATGTGACAGCTGGAAGGGAGGCCCCGGGAAGCCTTAGAAAAGCCGGAGAGCGCTATCTGGGTACACTGGAGACAGGCAAAGGAGAGGGGAGGAAAAAATTCCAGTCAGTCTCTGGGAAAACCCGTGGACACCCAGAGGTGATGGCAGCTGAGTGAATGGTGGCATCAGACAGGTGGACAAACAGCTGAGACGTTTATTTACACTCATTCATTCATCATCCATCCTTTCGCCCGTTTAATAGATTCATATTGGTTGCTTTTTTAAAAAAAA